ACACCATTTGCAAGTCTCTTATGCCTTCTGCCCTTTTGCTACTAGCTGACTATCATCAGAAGATGCTGTCTCCTCCACTCTTCTACCTCCTCTTCTCCCCCAGGCTCACTTCACAAGAGCATCTCCCAGAAATACATCAGGACAGTAACAGTTTCTGCAGAGGTTTAACATGAGCCAAGATGAGAGCACACGTCAGTCTCATGTTAAAGTTTGTCCACGTAGTTTTCTGTTGCAGAGACATTGCGAAGATACATTCTTGGTGGTGTTTGAATCTTTTCTTGGTCTTGTTCCCTGAGTATATAATCACCTCACTACATGTGTTCTGGCACAGCCCTCTGGTTTAATTTTATACCACACCTAAATCCAGTTCAAAGAACTGAGGGAAGACTGCCTCCGTGTCCTGCAGCCCAGAGCTTGGAAACAGCCGCTCCTAAAATGTGAGACCTGTCGAAACCACATGTTTCAAGACCTACTTTTTATAGTGTTGTTTTCTGAATGGAACTTATTGAGACTATACTTAATGAAGCACAGACAGTGCCATTAAAGGGCTCTGTAGGTTTCAATAGCCCACTGATATGTACATACTTACTGAGTGAAGGAGGCCCATTTATTTACACTACCTGCTGTGCAGTATATATGGCCATCACGAACTAAGTCTGTCTGTTGCATAACAGGAGGTTTGCACTATAGGGATCACCTCACTCTGCAGGAGAAGTTGCAGGAGAAGATGAATGAGCACAAATCTCTCTGAAACCAACATGGCAGGGGGAAATCTGTAATGCATACTGTGCACTTTACTGGAGGAAAACTAGGAGTCCCTGCCAAATAAAAGTTGGGTAAAAAAACAAGACTTACAGAAGAAATTACTAAAAAAAAAGTGATGGTAACTGAGCCTGTGAGCAGGACCAGGCTGTGCTATTCAGGTTCCAAACAATAGGGCTACCTTCACATTACAGGGCAAAGTAGAATGATTTGATGACCTCATTTTGCATAATTATTAGCCATGTGCTTTTGTTTGAGAGATTGTATTTATTTTCTGAGAAATACCCTTTAGAGCAACAGGTATTTGGTTTTGGGATGACGGCCACTAGCTCTAGAGGAGAGTCCAGAATGATGGGGTTGTGATGTAGAGGGTTTCATGGAGGAACATTTCCTCCAAACCTTACAATATTCCGGGCTACATTACAATATCTGTCGGTGCGTTACAACACTGTCACCACAGGTAGGCAATCTGTCCTCATCAGAACGCATGTGGCAGTTGCACTGTATTGGCTGGCGATTAGGGCAGCCTACCACATCAGCAGTTCAGCTACAACAGCCTTCTGTAATTTCAAAGACCTGTCCAACACAGTTTGGTTAGTAATCTGTGCCTGCACTGTGAAGTATGACCTGGAGAAACCATGGATGGGGAAACACATACATGAATCTTGATATTACCATTCTCAAGCGGTTGCATGGCCAGTGATCAGATATGTATCAGAATTAGGACCACATATCAAAGTGGCCCAGCTCTGATTGGAAAAATTTTGATTTCTATGTTGACATGAGAGCAAAACAAAATCAGATTTTGGCCACATGTGCTTGTAATAATTGTGAATACAATTCCAGACCCTAACAATGGAACATAATGAGCTCTGTTTTTTAACACACAACATTAATATACATCCAAACCTGATACCCATTCATCCAGTTATTTTTAAGTCTTTCAGTAATTCTGGCAGTGGGAGTATGGACTTATAATGGGCAGTGGGAGATGTGATTTTGGAGCAGCATGGAGGTAAAAATGTGCTTCACATGACCCAGCCGTCTAATCTTTGGTGTCCACCAGCTCTGCCAAAGTACCCGCTGCAGTCAAGAACCAAACCTCCACCAGCTCCAGTAATAATGTTTTATGTCTGACCCTACACACAAACCCCCGTGCAGCAATAAATAAAGCATAATCAGTGTGTTTGGCAGAGAAGAATATTCAAGTAGATTCTTTGTACTTTTTTTTGCTCTATAGTTTTTTTTTCTTTAAAGAGGTTTGTTAAGTTTTAGCTGTTAAAATTTTTTGTCCTCCTCATTATTTGTAAAGCCCAAGCCCATACAAATTTTGCTTGTTTACACAGCCAGAATGGAAAGGTTTTATCATGCAGTACTGGCAACCGTCGGAGAAAGGACTCAAATGCATGACCTACAAAAGTAGAATAAGAGTTAATATCCTGAGGAAAGCAGAGTTCACCACACAACACAAAGTCCGAAAATATAGGCAAAAATATCCAAAAAACATAAGGCAAAGTTTTGGTCAAAGGCACAGAAAAATGGTCCAGTATTTCCAGGAATAAATTTAGGAAAAATAATACTGGGATGCTTAAAAGGAATAGTGAAGACAAACTGGCACAGACAAAGGTAATGACACAGATTAAATACACAAGGGAGGCAGGATAAAGAGGGACAGGTGGAACTTATCAGGGTGGGGAAGGTTATCACACAGACAGGAAACACAGGAGGGCAGGCAGTGAAGTATCTGAAACGAGAGAAAAAGCTAAGTACCAGGGGTGGGACCAAGTCATTGTTTTGCAAGACACAAGTAAGTCTCAAGTCCTAAAGTTTGAGTTTCAAATCGTACACAAGTCTCAATGCACTCCTCACCAAATATAGTCATTTAACAATAGAGAAGCTAAAAATATATTAAAATTTACAAAAATCCTTAATGCTTTGAAATTTGTATTAATTCGTCAAAACAAGTTGGTTAAAAAGTTGCTTAACTGTTAAGCTAACGGTAGCTAAGCATCAGCTTGCTAACTGCTAATATTAGTGGATTCAGAAAATGAAGGGAAATCATTTGATTTGTGGCAATCTTTTTAAATAACATAATTTCAGTCTTTGGGCTCAGGGGAAGGTTTTAAATAAGTGAGGTCACGAGTCTTTGGTGTTAAAGTCCAAGTCGAGCTGCAAGTCTTTCTTATTTTGTCAAGTTGAATCAATCTGAAGTCATCAAATTTGCGACTTGGGTCTGACTTGAGTCCCATTTACATGAATCGAGTCCATACCTCTGTCTAGTAAGTGCCAAAAAAACAGGACATTGTGACCTAAAAAGCTGAAAACAAGAAAACATAACCTGAATCACTGGATGGGGATGTAACAGGTTACAATTAAATCTATGCATGGCCCTGGACTGCTCTCTCTAGGCTTTTTGTGTGAACTTTCCTTGACCTTGGTTATCAACCACGAATGCACCATTTCCTTCAAAGAGTCAATAATGTCATGTGATGGACTGCTTCTTTCACATTTGTCCTTGGCTGCAGTTTTTTCACCATGGCCCTGAAACTTGCTGCTGTTCCATTTAGAGAGGACGTCAAGTAGCCTATAGCACAATTAGTCGTAGCACAATGACAGCCTTTGCAAACCCAACAAACTTAGTTCAGTTTGCATGCTGTCATTATATGGCTGCAGACAATAACTTAGTAGGTGAGTTTTCACCGTGTATGTTTTACTAGAGAACCAAAAGATCAGCGAGAGTTAACGGCCTGTTGTGGATTTAGTGGCGTCTAGCAGTGAGGTGGCAGAACTGAAACTTCTCCCATGTGAAAACCCTCTCCCCAACATGAAAATGTGAATGGTTCTCTCTGGAGCCAGTGTTTGGTTTGTCTGTTATGGGCTACTGTAGAACAACATGGTGGACTCTTGGAAAAGGACCCGCACCATATGTAGATATAAATGCCTCATTCCAAGGTAACGAAAACACAATTCTTATTTTCAGGTGATTATACTTTAATGAAAACATAGTTATGAATATTATATAGCAGTTCTGCCACTAGATGCCTTTCAATCCTCCACACTGGACCTTTAATTATCCAAGGCACATGTCTTTTAGACTTTGTGAAGTGAAAGAACATGTATTAAGTGCTGCTGTGAATTTCAGCAAAAGGAACTGCACAGCCATCATATCTTGAAATGACTTCCTAAGGAACCCAGAGCCTCATTCACCAACACACATGACTTCAGGGCTGCACAGCTTTGCAGCACTCAGGTCGCGTCATACTCCAAAGACATAATTTATGTTGACACACGAGTCCCCACAACTCTCTCTGAAGCTCCCGTTGGTGGTTCTGAGTCCATAACATCAGTGCTAGTGTAAACCTCAGCCTTCATCTGTCACACCGAGTGCGCCGTGAGCTTTGATGCATTAGCAACGTCCCACGCTCCTGGCCATGAATACTGCATGAGCATGTAACCTACATCTATCCATGCTTCTGTCAGCAGGGGTCCCCTGATCAGACAGGTTCAGTATGCAGGGTGTAACGGTGTCCAGGAATGCTTTTTATGGGGTGTTTAGTTGATTCATTCCCCTGTCAGAAGAGATCAATGTCCTGCTGATTTGACTTGGTTTTTAAACTCTTAAAAGTGCTTTTCAAACGGCTGCCAGAGGCTTGGGGTGTGTGCTCTTTAAATGGGTGTTCAAAATGTGTTCAGGCTATAATAGTAAAAACATAATGGAGGTTTTATTGAGGTGTGATCAGGGTGGGGTAAAACATTAATACATTTCACATATATCATGGTAACAGTACAAGATGTGTTTGATTTATGTCATCTGGCAAACCCAATGTTGGCTTTTGAGGACATTGACCTGCATGACATTATTAATCAAAGTGTAGTCATGTTTTTATGGAGCAGCAGTTAATGTGTACAGAAAAAAAGAGAAATGGAGAGATGGAAGGTCTATGAGACATTGAGGTCGACAAACTCCCACTGATGAGAGTGAATGGGAGGTGTTAATGTTGGGATTTACTAAAGCAGCATAAAATCAGCCAAATGGTGAGGGAAATAAAAAGCAGGCTGGCCAAGGAAAAATGTAATCGTTGCAAGGCTGAGGGAGGAACACTCATGAATAATTTTGCTGCGCACCATATTTAACTGACAGAATATTCAGTGGAGCTGATCAATCCTTAACCATGCAGTTTTAGCTTTCTGTTTGACCAAAAAATAAAATGTTTGTGGTTTCTCTCTTTCTGTCCCAGATTCTGATCGGGGAAGTGACCAGTTTCTTCGTGAAGACAGAGGGAGCTCAGGAGAAGACCATAGTGACTGCTGACTGCTGTTATTTCAACCCTCTCCTCCGAAGGATCGTACGTTTTCTGGGTCAGTTATAGTCCTAAAGATCAGAGCTTTGACTAAATAGAGCCTCTGTACTCTGGGACCAAGGCTCATTTAGACTTACACCAGTGCTCCTCTATCTAAAGGCCAGAAAGAGCCCTTGTCCTTAGTTTAGGTCTCCTGTGGACTAATTTGCCCTCTCTTCTGTTCTGTTGATGTTCCGTGATCTTTTTCATCATCTCTGTATCTCTGTATTTATCTAAGCTATGAATCTTTTAAAGTGGTGGACTGTAGATGTGAAGCAAAAAAGCAAAGGGCTATGTCTGTCTGGACTTTCACTCCCACACAGTTGGCAGTCAGCGTAAGGATTTAATTCCCATTAAAGCGCCTGTTTCTGATTCCTACCAGTCTCACTTATTCAATTATTTTTAGCTTTCATACATAGACCGTCCTTTTTTCTCACTCCACCTCTCTTTTGTTACACAGGTGTGTACTCCTTCGGCCTCTTCACCACCACCATCTTTGCCAATGCAGGTCAAGTGGTGACAGGAAACCAGACGCCTCACTTCTTGACTGCCTGCAGGCCGAACTACACTGCTCTGGGTTGCCAGTCTCCGCTGCAGTACATAGCAGAGCGCCGAGCCTGCACAGGAAACCCATACCTGGTGGCGTCCGCCCGCAAATCCTTCCCCTCCAAAGACGCAGCGCTCAGCTTTTATTCAGCCATCTACACAGTGGTAGGGAGCTTTTGTTGATGACTGACTGTTGGTAAAACAAATACTGGACACATAAAGACATAAATCCTTTAAATAATAAAACCTTTTAAAAGCCTTTATACGGTGGAACCAGGGAGTTTATTAATGGTAATAAATCATTTACTTATCCTTTATAAATAAATCAGTTAAAGCTAGGGTACTTAGATTTATTTTGGTTTCATTGGGCAGAAATCCCATAATAAACTTTATTAGTATGTTGTAATTCAAGTGGACTGAGATAACATCAGACTTCTGCACCTCGTCTTGGCTCTGTTTTCAGGATTTAGAAAATCTAGCTTATGCCAGGAGACTTTGGCCAATCACAAGTCATTTCAGAAAGAGGGCAGTCCTATTGGCTGTTCTATAAATGTAGATGTGAATGCATGTCCCTTCAGTTAAAGCCTGATTCAAAGACAGAGAATCCTGCAGAATAAGTTACTATTCCAGCATTGGCATTGACTGCCCATGCTGCAAAGCAACCCATAAAAAGGAAGACAGACTTATCGAAAAGAGAGTCTGACAATAAATGCAATGAAACATGTTTTAATAACAGTGAAGTATTTCAGAGATGGAGAGAAAATGTTGCTATTAGTTTAGCCTTCTGCTAAGCAGAGCCAAAGGCTCAAAGCTGCAGCTTCAAGTTCACATTTAGCAAACATTAGCTAGAGCCTCAAGTCACAGCGTGTCCTCCGCCTCACTCCCGGAGTTTGAACAGCCCCGACGTCCCACCAGAAAAGCAAACTTTCTGTTGCTGCCATTACACAGGTTAGACCGCTGCCGCTGGCCACCAGCCTGCTATATGACATCAAGTGCTGGAGAGTGTTGCACTGGCCAAACTCAAGCTGACCAAAGATCCGTCTCTCAAGCTGCTGCCCACTTCCCTCCATGGGAAACAGTCCACAGGCCCAGAGGTTAAAATTCCACATGGACTCTGTCAAACTGGCTTCAAAACCCAGAGCTGTTTCTTTAGGCTTTCCCCTCTTGCTTTTTCCAGATTTCTGCTTACCCCAGCATGAAGAGCCATTAGAAGAATATTTTTCAAAGCAGCATACAGCTAGCCTTCAATATACAGCCTGGCAGTCCAAAGGTTTTTCTTATAACTGATTTATTAAGCATCATTATTGAATAATTTATTTACCAGTAACAAAGCTAAAAGTTACTTATCAGTGTCTTATAAAGGTTGCAGTTGCCTCATTTGCAACTAGTACTAGAGACTCTGACAAAAAAATAAAAAGAAAGAAATATGAAATGAGAACAAAAATTTAATTCTTCCAAAAAGGAAGGAACCTATTAAGTGCTTTCTTACGACTGCCTGCTAATAACCTCACAGCTGGCTGATTTCTTATTAGTCCTTTTACATAATACTGTTGAAAAGCTTACAAATACGTAGCCTGCAAATTCAATTTAATGTGGAGAAGAACAGTACAAAACTGAATTCAGACAACCTGTAGATGTAAATTATGGATGTAAGGCACTAAGACATAAAAAACTAAATTTCTAGATTAATTATTTATTTTTTCAATCACTGCTGTGTAAATTCCAATACAAAGAATATATAAGTAAATTAGGTTAATTCCTATATATATTCTTGAATGTGATAATAGTTTAACACTTTAAATAATTTCAGAAGATTGCACATTTCCCACATACTGAAATTCACATCTGCTGTAACACTTGATGTGCATACTGACTTTGACAGTTACATTTTTTCTCTGTGGTAGTCATCACCTGATCTTAACCCAAATGACCTCCTTTCCCAGGGTAACACATGTGCATGTGAGTCTCTGTCATTATATTGGTAGAAACGTTTATTTATGATTAAAGCACGGCTGCATTGAGCCTTTGTTCGTCTTTTTAATTACAGTGTGCCATGTTCCTGTCATTTTTAGAAACATTAAGCCAAGCATGGCAGTGTTAATGGTGCTCTCTCATCAAATCCTTCAGCTGCACTGAAATCACTGCAGAGTGCGTCCTCTTGTGGCTCATTCAAGCTCTTCAGCCTATTAAGATATTTAAGCTGCAGCAGTGTTCGAATGATCTCAGATGGATAACTGAAGACCTGGAGATTCAAAACTAGCTCACTTTTTTTTATTTTATTTTTTATTTCAAATACATCTCTTTCCTCCAGATGTACGTGACCCTGGTGTTCAGGACCAAGGGGACCCGTCTGACCAAGCCCACCTTGTGCCTGGTGCTGTTGTCTCTGGCCGTGCTGGTGGGGGTGGTGAGAGTGACTGAACACAGAAACCACTGGAATGATGTCCTGGCTGGGTTTGTCACCGGAGGGGCCATTGCTGCATTCTTGGTGAGAAGGAGATGATGTGGGAGGGAGGGAGATATGGGGAGGGAAAGGAGGGTGGAAAGATGAGATGGATGGAATTTCAGGGATCGAAAAAAGGATGGAGCAGGAAGAGATAGTGGTAGATGGATGGAAATGGGGTAAAGGAAAGGACACTGGATATTTAAGATAAATAATCATACAAATAATTATGAATAAGTAGATTAAAAAGGAAAAATCTTAAAAAAGACAAATAAGGTGCATTTGTGTATCGCATTAGCTAGCTCATCATCGCCCCTTTGCATTGCGCTCATACCTCAGTTACCATTGATATCGGGACAGTGTCGCCAATTCTTTAATCAGCTTTGGCTAAATAAGTATAATAATAGGCAAGTTCCTGTGTGTTGCTTTTGTATGGCAGGATAGTATGATGAAGAGAGAAGGGAAGGATTGTATTAGAGAAGGAAGCATAGAGAGTGCAGTGTTGGTGTGATGTGGGTGCAGTAGAGATGGTGGGAGGATGAACTGATGATTAAGGGAGGCTTGAGAGAGCCTTGCTGCCTGTGCAATGGAGAACTCACACACACTTTCACATCTATGAATTTGAATGGACTGATCTGAATCTTTATATAACACACATTGAAATAGTGTTATTTTGTCTCGGGACCTCTTGGCCTGAATCAATTTTCTGAAAACACTCCTAGGGTCAGTGTTAATGTTAAAGATCAAAGCGCTTCCTGTGCTTCGCCCCTTTTTGTCCATGCCTCTGCCCATGTGTCATTCTTTCTCTCTCTTTCTTTTATCCCTGTCTCTCCCTCTCCCACTGTAAGCGTCCTCTTCAGTATCTGTTCCCAAGCGCACTCCAGGCATTTCACGCACCAGAAAATCGCCCATCTTCGTGGTGCAGTGGAGCGAATCTCTGCCCTCCTCTTTCTTTTACCTCTTCTCTATGCTCTCCATCAGGTGTCATGTGTGATCAACAATTTCCAGCAAACCCAGAGAGCGATGGCGATGGCGACTTCTCCACCTCCACAGCGCCCAGAGCCCCCAATTGGGCTTCCTCTCCTCAGTCTGCCCCGTGTGGAGAGTCCACTCGAAAAGTTAAGTGGCCTCCAGGTAAGGGTGGGGGAAAACAATTTGGAAAAACATTGAAAAAATAGTTGTTGTTTTTCCCTGAAAAGCACTTTTGGTGAGCAAATACTTATTAGTCATGTTAGTGGCATGGTTGCGGGAATGTCACTCCACCACTTTGGCCCAAAGTGAAGTATCTCAACAGCTATCGGGCATTCTAGTTTCCCAGAAGATGAATCCTGCTGACTATTGTGATCCCCTGACTTTTGCCCTTGCACCACCGTGAAGTTGACATTTATAGTTTTGAGTTAAACAGACTATTTCAACAGATACACACATTCATGCTCCTCTCAGGATGATTTATAAGCTAATCAACTTTGGGGATTCTTTAACTTTTAATCTCGCGTCATTTTCCAGTCAGAATTTATATTTGCCCAATAGTGTTGTGTATGACTTAATAGCTGTAAAACTACATTCCCATCAGTCTTAGCTGTTCTTCGTGTTAAGTTATAATAACAAATGTTACCCTGCAAACATAATAAGCTAAGATGGTGAACATGGTGCATATGAAAACCTACCAAGCACCAACATGTTAGCATGCTAATGTTAGCAAATAAAGGCACAGTCCACCCTAAAATGAAAAATACATATTTTTCCTCTTACCTGTAGTGCTCTTTATGAGTCTAGATTGTTTTGGGGTGAGATGCCAGATGTTGAAGATATTGACCTCAGAGATGTCTGCCTTCTCTCCAGTATAATGGAACTAGATGGCACTCGGCTTTTAGTGCTCAAAGCTCCAAAAAATGCATTTGAAAAACTCAACAGCAATGCCTCTTTCCAGAAATCATGACCCAGTTACAAAAGATAATCCACAGACCTTGTTGTGAGCAGTTTAATATAGGAACTATTTTCTTTCTACCAAACTACTTTCACTAACTGTATCACCATACAGAAGGAAGCGTGCATCTACTCATTGACACGAAGCCTGTGACAGCATGGGACAGTGAGATATAACGATGGCATCCTTGGCTGAGCCGTAATGTTAGCTAGCACAGTGGTGCTAAGTGAGCTAGCAGATGCACACTACTTTCTGTGCAGTGATACGGTTGGTGGGTGTAGTTTGGTAGAAAAAAAATAGTTCCTACATGAAACTGCTCACAAGAGCTGCAGATTATCTTGAGTAACCAGGTCATGATTTCTGGAGAGAGGCAAGTTCCACTATAGAAGATGCGGAAGAAGGCAGACATCTCTATGACTGATATCTCCAACACTCAGCAACTCGCACCAAAATATTCTAGACTGATAAATAGCACTACAGGTGAAAAGAAAAATATGTGTTTTTGATTATACAGTGAACTGTCCTTTAAGCTTAATGCACCACAATACCTACTGTAAATATAGCCTGACAACACTGCTTGCATGACTGCAGACCTTCAATCTAGTTTTTAAATGTGTACGGGGCTATCTTTGACTGTTTTTTGTCTTCACTGATAACCTTGGTTCCTTCATTGTATTTGGATTTATGCTTCTTTCTGTCTGATATCTCTGTTGTGCACACTCTATCTCCAGACATCATCATTTTGCATTCTTGTCTCTTGCTGTCTCAGTCAAGTAAAGTTTATCTGCCTTATTCCCTTTGGGTTTTGACTTCCCACATGTTTTGAAATGTTTTATGTTCTTTACTTCCATCCCTCTCTATCTTTCCTAATGTTCTCCTTGTCCCCTTCCCTCCTGTTAGGCTCCAGGGCTACCGTATTCTGAGATCACATGACCATCAGCCAATCCCGTCCCCCGCCCCTCCCGATGTGCTCCTCCCCTCACGGCGTTGCCTCACCAGCGCAGTCTAGACCTGCCCACTGAATGCCCCCCACCCTGCCCTGCCCACCCCGCTGGACGACATCCTCTCAGACGAGTCAAATCCACGCAGGTCTGAAGCTCCACCAATCACAGGAGGCAGAATAGCGACACATGCACACGGCAAGCATGGCTGAAACCTGTCATCCGCTAAGGACCAATAGGACATGGATACATGTCTCTCTGTCCTGCTCTGTCCTGTTCGTCCTCCAAGATGGCCTCCTTTTTCTTTCAGGTGTGAAAGAATCGCCAAAGCCAGAGCTGTTGAAGCAATACTGTGTCCTATTTCCTTGTCCTGTTTTCCACAAAGACCCAACAGTGACTCTAAAGACTGTTGGCTGGTGATGACTTGATAAAACACTTTGGTTTGGGGATCAAAGAAAATTCCAGTCACCGATGGATTGTCCTCAACAGACCATTTTGCAACACTCAGGACAATACAGTGGAAAAAAGGACAAGATTATAAACAGAGACCTTTATGTAATCAGGTACCATCTAGTATTATGGTACAGAGTTTTTATTTCTGTCCTCGAAACTAACAAGAGATGTGATCAAAGAGGAAAGCACCTTTGTAAATTATAGCACAGATGAACCAACCTCGTGTTCAGTAAACTGTGTTGTATCTTATTTGTTTTGGGGGATGTGGGTTTGATCTCTTGCTGTATATTGTGTGAAGTGACAGAAGAGAGATTTATACCCGCTAGAGCTGTGCTTGTGATACCACATTTGTTTTTGGGGCATCAGTTAATTCTTTCCTGAGGTGAACTAGATTACCATCGACTTTCCAAATATCTCTTATCTACTTGCTATTCAGGTGTGTGTTTCTAAATGTCTGTAGGTTCTACGTCCATGCTGTGAAATATCTGGAGGGTTTTATCATTTGACCTACTGCCTATTCTCATGTGGAGTTCTTTGTTAGTGTTAGTTTGGATAAATGTCTCATTTTCTTTTTCCCATACCCCATTTAACAGTTTAATGCCTGTCCTTGTTTTCTCATTAGATTACCTGTATCTATATGTTAATGTTAAGAGTGGTGCAGGGATAAAGTTTTTTGTAGGCTGACGCAGAAGTTGGCATTGCCCCTCGTCAAAAAAGCCTACGGGATTTTTCCATTGGATTTTGGTTTATTAAAGATTATAAGATCTGTGGCAAACAAAAGTTTATGATACTTACATGTATTGTTCATCAAGATGATCTTCACAAATGAACATCGCTTTTATGATTTTTGAAGCCTAAATGCAACCGCCAAAAGCTAATGATAGGCTATGAACGAACTACACCACCATCACATGATTTAACATCGCCACCACAACAAAGCTGTCGTTCTGTAGTCTCATTTAGCCAGAGCTTCAAAATTCATAAGTGGAGTATTGTCTGACATATTTCATGTCATAGAACGAAACGTGAATGTCTCTTAAGCTTCTGTTAACCATAGACCTTATTTTAGGCACCTAACCAAAAACCCATTCAAAAAACCCATTGACGTCAAGACAAGGGAACCAGGAGTGCTAATATGCTAACTCACTTCTGAGTTTTAGGACTTATTTCTGCAGCTCCCTGTTTACAGAGGCGGATGTTCCTATAGGTGACAAAGGCGACCGCCTAGGGCGCCACCCAGACCCCCTCCCCCCAAAATATGACGCAAGAGAGAAGTGAGCTAATGCTAGAGCATTAATGGGTATGGTAGAGTGGAGTGTGTGTGGAGATTTTCAGAGTAAGAAAAAAATGAAAAGGCAAAAGCCATCCAGGGCTCAATATAAAAGAGTAAAAAAAAAAAGTTAAAACTTGCAAATTTGCACATACATTATTCTTTTATTGTCTGATATTTATTATTATTGTTTGTTAGCTGAGTTGATTATTTGTGTTGACTTCAGATTAGCTCTTGTTTTTGTTTGTACTGAATATAATGAATATAAAAGAGGGGGCTGCCAGGGGAAGCTTGCCTAGGGCGCCAAATGTGCAGGTCCAGCACTGTGTATTTATTCCCTTTGCTTTCCAAAATGAATGTTTTTATAAGAGTAGTTTGTGCATCTGTTGTTGATGCAGCTGTTTTATCCATCCATCTTGTCCCGTTATTTCCTGCCTCAGTCCACCGTCCTGTCTTCACACTGACTTTAGGAAACCAATGGCACAGACCAGTGTGTGATACAGAGGCAAGACCTCTGAGGTTTTGTATAGTTTTGTACAGTATATAGGTTTCTTTACACAGTATATACTGCATTATCATTATGTTTCAATTGTGTGAACAATGTGAAGCTGCCTGAGCCTGTCTTGTAGGAACATGAGTAGTGGCCTGGTTTAAAGCAGGAATGTAGCGTGGTGGAGAAGTGTGTGAAATCTAACGGCATACAGTCAGCGTGTTTGGCTCACAACTTGCTTTAGTTCTGCTCTCAGTTCAAAAGGACACTGCAGGCAGGTTATATTAGTAGGAGAGTACGCAATGAGTTATATAAAGAAGACATTGCTATGGTTTTATTAAGCGTGTGTGTGTGCGCGCGTGTGTGTGTGTGCTTATTGGGATTTGTGTGTATGTTTATAATGAGCACATTGTATGGCAGCATAACTGTTAATTTGGCAATCTGTTTTCTTAAGTTAAACTGTCAAAAGTAGCTGCTATAATTACACACTTGCGCTTGTGTGTAACTGCAGGCCTTCAAAGGACCCCTGCCAAGGCGTCCTAACAATGCCTGTTATAGCAGAAGGTGCTCATTATAGCTTTGAGATTACTTACAGTAAAACTTTTCAGTCTGAATTTTTTTGTAAACAACTGAAGAGGTAGAGAACACCATAACTGTCCAAATAATGTTATTTTCATGTTCAAATGTCTCTGTTTTGTATTTATTTACCAAAATAAATTGCAATTACCACACATCGCTGGCTGAGTTACATTTTTTACTTGATTTGTTGAAATGTCCTGCACACTTAAGTAAAGATATATCTTTGCTGTTGTACCCTTTTCTATTCGTTTTAAGCTGTCATGACATACAGTAGCCATGAATACAGTATGTTTAAAGGATAAAGAGATATTTTGTGGAATGTTATTATTTAGCTGCTTTAAATTAATATTGACTATCAGTCAGACTCAGAACAATAGGCCTTTTTAACAGCAGACATTTTTACTTTTCATAGGAGAAAAGGTGTTTCTAATAACATTAACAACGGCAGTGTTCTGTTTAAGCATCCCACTAAGTCATGACAGTAAGTCAGTGTTTACACCCGTGCCTTTCCTACTGTGACGTGTCAAAATGTCTTGCATTAAGAAGACCTACCTGAAAATCTGTGTCAGAGCTTTGAAGAACTTAATATTGGAGATGTATCCCAATTTCAGTACTTTCAATTGTATACAATACATTAAAAAAATCATGCAGATTTTGTGGGTATTTGTCTTGTTGTTGTTTTTTTTTTTTACTTCTCCAACGTAAACACACTAGATTCAGGAACTGAGACACACAAATGGAAAAGTACTGCCCCTTAGTGGCTGTTACCCAGCTTCTTCTTAGAGACTAGTATGGATGTAAAATATGGCACCTGTAATTGGTATGCATAATTTGTTCTGACCTGGAGAGTTATTAATTTGCAGTGAATCAGTGATTAAATACTCAAAAATGCAATGTATTACAATGTTCAACGTGACAGTGGATTGTGGATTTACTCCTTTAAAAACCTGCTGTTATGTGGTGTCGCCTCAGTTTATTAAGTTGTAGTAAGTTGCTATGAACACCAAGGGGCAGTGTTTACCATGTTAACCTGATGAAACCAAGGGAGGCTTTCAGAATTCCCCATTTTTTATGTTTCTGAAACCAAACAGCACATTAGGAATGTAAAAATATGCTTAAACAGAAAAGAGGATGTCTTTTTACACGAGACCTCCGTTGGCCCACATTAGGCATTAGTCATCAAGCTAATAAATGTAATGTAATGGCACAATTACTTTGAAATGTAGACACAGGCAGTTTCTGTCTCTCTGTCTCTCTTTTCTCTCTCAATTGCCCCAGTCTTTCTCCCCGCCCCCTCTTTGTGTTCCTTTGAGTTTGTGTTTGTCAGTCTTGTTAACGACAAGGCACACACACACACACACACACACACACACACACACACACACACACAAACAGAGAACTCTCTGCACTCTCTCGACAACATTATCTTTTCCGGAAATTGCTTCTCAAGCACAGCCGGAGCCCCATTAGAAAAGAAGAGCTCTACGCTGTAACCTTTTTAAAAAGCCATTAGTGATGCACCTGCTTCTCTCTCTCTCTCTCTCTGTTCCTATTTGTGTGTCCTATTTGTCTCTCTTGTTAACACTGACACACACACACACACACACACACACACTTGCAGTTTCTCCATCCTGATTGCCAGCCAGCTTCCCTTTTCCCAATCCTACAAACTGACTACTGAGCAGCACGAGCATCTTTCCACTCCAGTTAGGGTATGAATCACTGACATTTTAAAGTTCTGCGTCAGAGTGCAAAACCACTCAATTTAATAATTTACGTGTGTTATTCTAATGGCTTGTGACTGTTAAATCAGTGTTTTGGACATGAGTAATTCCCTCTCACTGGGAAAACAAGTTATTTTATAAAATGTCACGTCACTGCAGTGAATATGCCAGGTTCACTTCCATCAGAGATGAATGAGGAACTCATTTTGGTGATTCATATAATGTTATACTGCATACTGTACAAATGAGCTTTTAATTATAAATGCTGCTCCCACTTATAGTGATTTAATGTTTTCGTCAGTTATTTGATACCTTAAATTTAAAGCCATTACTCCTAGGCAGAAGTGATTTGTATTTGCTTTGGTCGCCTCCACATTAACATCAGTAACACTAAGTGCTGCCAAACCTAAATGAATGGGAGTGACACAACATAATGTATTGTGCATAGCTTAAGCATGTATACCAGCACATGGTACATACTTATCCTTTAGGGGAAAAAACACCTGTGTGGTAGAATATATGAAAGGGGAACTCCACCAATTTAAAAAAAAATCTTGTCTATTGACACATCTTTGGGGGTCCTACTTCACATGTAAAAAAAAGTTGTATAAAGCATTTTGTGCCTCCAGAGGAAGCTGTGCAAAACGTGATACATCTGATTAATAAATCTGATAGATAAAAGTGATGTCACTTGAGTCAGCCTCAATTGGGGCTGAAGACTGCAAGTTTGAAAATGGAACAAATTCTGGGGGTGTGAAGTTAGATAGATGTAACATTAAAAGATCCCTGTAGCTTGCGCTTTAACTCTGCTTGAGACTAGGGGCTCATAGTTACATTAGTCACTAGTAGCATAACACCCCAGAATCTTTGAGACGTGTATAGATGCAGCAACATACCGTTGGGAACCTACACAACACATTCCTTCAAAGCACACTCACCGCCAGTAGAAGACAAACCCACCAGCACAACAATTATTTGAACCCTGCTACAACGCTACACTGCAGTGACAAAATATGAGGTCAAACCATGGATGGCCTACTGGGCACAGGCCCAGGGGCCCAAAGTGTCAAGGCCCCAACCTGAATTTCACTTGCAAAATGTCCTTTAGATTAACACACAAATGCAAGGGAACTACAAAGTGGTGCAAAAAAAATACACAAAGGAGCAAAACAACCCAGAGAATAGAACTGGATAGAAGGTCTTTATTGTCATTGTACATGTATATTAAAATTTGGGGTGCTTCTCCTGGCCAGTGCAGTTTATGTAAGTAATAGACTAAGACAAATTAGACAGACAAGTGCTCATTCAATAAATATGAAACTAAAATAGATGATATAAGAAAACATGAGCAATAGGCATCGAGTCAGAGAGGCAACAGCCGCTGCTTATGTGTGTGCCGCCATTTTACCCACACAATATCACCAGAAAGACACAAAATTCAAAGAGACAGAAAACGACTACAAAGATAACAATCTACTTTGTAATTCATTATAAATGTAGGCGTGGTTTACTTTATAAGTAACAAAATGTA